CTTTTATTTTTATTACTGTTATTATTACCCTCAAACCTGTACCCAGAAGACGCCTTTTCTTTAAAATGAAAATGCGCGCCATCTGCCACTGGTTTGTTAATGAACTTATTACTTGTGGGATTATTTGACCATGACACACTGTTTTTTCTGTCAAAATAATAATCCGCTTGTCTCAATTTATCCAGAGCATCCTGGAAATCCCTCGTACCCACCAGAACAGACGAAATGCTTGGCGGAAAATGCCTAGCAATCATTTGAATCAACATTTCTGGATGGTAAGGGGGATCCAAATACTTTGCTAACCCTACAAAATAATTAAAATGATCCACAAAAGGGACAGCGTTGTCTGTATAGCGCGCTGATTCTATTTTCAATTTTATCTGTACCTGTTTGTTGGGTCCCCAAAACTGGTTCAAAAACGCTCTTCGAAAACTTTGATAATTATTGAATGTTGATACGTAGGCATCCGCCCATATTTTAGCATTTTTTTCGAAAAGCGTGCTCGTTAGGAAAACAAAATTTTGATATGGTAAATTTTGAACTTGAAAACTTTCGAGGACATTTAAAAAATCTACCGGGTGTAGTAGTGATTCATTATCGAAAACTGGCAACTTTTTTACATCTAACAAATTTTCGGCCCTCTCCATCCTATTGATGGGAGGTTGATTTTGTATTTGCATGTTATTCATTTGTTGGATCACTTCTGCCACCAAACGGGTTATGCCCTCTGGCGAAAATAGCTGCGCTGACGGAGGTTGGAATGGCGGTTGAGCTTGCCCAGCATTTTGAAAGTGGAGAAAATCATTATTTACTTGATGCTGGGGCAACCTTTGATTTTGATTTTGACCATAGAGCCTTCCCCTCTCCGGAGCCGATGAATATGGATTAAAATTTGGCCTACCTTGAGCTCTGTCGTCACTTACGATCGGCGTTGCCGTTGGCTGGTGTTCTGGCACTAACGTTATCATATTTATTGGCGTTAATTGGCGGGGTGCCTGCTCTTGCCTCAAATGTTCCATTCTTTCTCCTTGAGCGTTGACTGTGGTCGCCCTCCTACGGAGGCCGTACCTGGTGCGCTCATTCATAGGAGTTTCGTTCGGTGAACGTCCTATCATTCTTCTGATCCAAAAAAAAATCGAATATCGCCTACCCGTGGGCGCCAAGATGAGACAGAACTCGAATTTAAGGGGTGGTGTTTCAGTGGCGAATTGGGAACAGAAAGAATTCAAAGACAGACTTCGGTTTAATTATGTATAAATACAGCTGAAATAAATGTTCTAGTAAAATATAGAAAATAATATCAGACATATAATTTACCTGACACTACGTAAACTATATCCAATAAAGGATTTACACAATATTAATATAGTTTCGACACGAAAAGATGCCAGCCGTAATACACGTGATAATAGGTAATCTTTGAGTGTCGACCTAAATCGAGCCCAATTGTTCCGGTTGTTAATCTGAACAAATCGCACAAAAAAAACTTCAACAAAAACCAAAGAATGTGTACCAGCTTGGGAACCCAGTTGGTACCAGTTCTCGACAATCTGGTGAACCATGAAACATTATGTTTCAGCAATTATTCCTTGGGTTTTGTATTATTTAATAACACAGTTTCTGATTCAAACACGTTTCTCCGTGATTAAGCACGGACTGTAATGTACTATTATCACCTAAACGAAGCACATGCGCCTATAAGTTTATAAGTAAAAAACTTTTATTTTGGCGAGATCTATCATCCCTTTATTTTTGACACAATAGTTTCGGAACATCCTGTATTCTAATTACATATACAGAATGTCTTAAGAAAAACAGTCCACCCCAATTTATTCGATTTGAAATGAAAATTTGAAAAAACACTCGATTACATCGATTTTTAATTTAAGAACTATTTTTTGGTTATTTCATCCCCAAAGCTTCAACCCCCTAGCTAGGAGAAAAATAATAATAATAATAATAATAATAATAAATAGCCTTTATTTAGATAAAACAAATTTTACATAGATTATTTTCTTATGGGGGCGGTATCCAACAGTGTTGCTCTTATATAATATACAACCCCAAATAACCCCCAAATTCAAATTATTGGGGGATAGGGATCGTATCATATTCAACCTTTATTATAATTACATTTGGTATATTTATATTACAATAATCAATAAGTTTTCAACAATTAATACAGAAATTATTTTTAAAATCAAACAAATTTCTTGTGCCTAAAATACCTAGAACAAATCTTCTTTAAAATTTTTAAGCAACCCCTTATTTGTGTAGATATTGAATCAACACAATTTACATTTCATTGTTAACAAAATTTAAATTTTCAACATTTCCAAGTAGCATGGCCATTATTGCAATTTAGTAAATTTTAAGTGATTATGCTAATAAGTTTGAGTTAGGGTGTTCAGGTAAGTATTGTTATAAAATTTTTGGATTTTCCTAATTGAGTTTTTGGAATTTATTCTAGCAAACTATGGTCTAATAAATTAGACTATTTAAAAGTTTGTGTTGGCTTTTTTAACAAATTCATTGATGTATTTATTAAAACTCAATCTTTTATCGATATAGAATTCCACACATTTCATTAATGGTCAGAATTATAGAACACTGAACCGATGGTTGAATTTCAACCTCCGGTTGGCTGTATGCGAATCGATAGGATTCAAACGAAGATTGAAACTCAACCATCAGTTCAGTGTTTTATAATACCAGACCTTAATAAGTATCTTTGATTTCAATTTCATTCTTTATCAAACTTGGCCCCTCGTATTACTATTTCAATTTCACTAAAAAGAGCGTCATGTCGAGTATCCACAATTTTCATGTGGCCAAAGTCGACATTTCCTTCTTTAATTCTTCTGTCTTAGTAGAAAGGATCATATATGTAAATTTTTCAACGTATTTTTTGCTCCTCTATTCAAAAAGAAATAACCTTTTTTTTTTTTTTTTTCAAAGCGTCCTAACTCGAAACGAAAAGCTCGAAAGAAAAACTTCAAATAGAAAACTTGTAGATCTCGTCAAGTACTAAAAAAAAAAACCTATTAGAGTTATCGTTCCACGGAACACCGTTTCCGAGAAAATCGTCCACAAAAATTTGAAGAAAATTTCAAAGAATTTCAAGTTTGATGGCTTATATCTCAAAAACGGAAACGAGCTGAAACCTCAATAAAAAAGCAATTTGTAGAGCTATAAACGAAAGAGGGGTCTCGTGTCGGATCCAGAGTAATTAATTACCTTTGTTTTTTTTTTTTAATTTTCAAAACGTCCTAACTCGAAAACGAAAAGCTCGGAAGGAAAACTTTAAATGTAAAACTTGTATATCTCATCGAGAACTACAAAAAAACCTATTAGAGTTATCGTTCCACGGGACACCGTTTCCGAGTAAATCGACCTCAAAAATTTGAAGAAAATTTCAAAGAATTTCAACTTTGACAACTTATATCTCAAAAACGGAGACGGCCTGGAACGTCAATAAAAAAGTTATTTGTAGATAATTTTGTCCTCTTTCGAACGAAGCATGACTCAAGCCGATCGTTTGAGAAATACTGGAGCTATGAGCGAAAGAGTAGTCTCGTGTCGAATTCTCGCAATTTTCTTTTCGCCAAATTCGAGATTTATTTTTTATTTTTTTCTGACCTTTAGATGCACCGTAACGCAAAGGGTCAAATGGGGTTTTCGACATATTTTTTGCTCCTCTATCCGATAATTTTTTTTTTTTTTTCGAAATTCAGAAGTCGAAATTTTTCGAAAAAAAATTCCAGAGTTAATGCCTTGTTTTTTTTTTTTTAATTTTCAAAACGTCCTAACTCGAAAACGAAAAGCTCGGGAGAAAAACCTTGAATATAAAACTTGTAGATCTCGTCGAGAACTACAAAGAAACCTATTAGAGTTATCGTTTCACGGAACACCGTTTCCGAGAAAATCGGCCTCAAAAATTTGAAGAAAATTTCAAAGAATTTCAACTTTGACGGCTTATATTTGAAAAACGGAAACGGCCTGAAACCTCAATAAAAAACCAATTTGTAGATAATTTTGTCCTCTTTCGAACGAAACATGACTCAAGCCGATCGCTTGAAAGATAGCGGAGCTATAAGCGAAAGAGTAATCTCGTGTCGGATCCTCGCAATTTTCTTTTCGCCAAATTCGATATTTATTTTTTATTTTTTTCTGACCTTTAGATGCATCGTAGCGAAAAGAGACAAATAAGATTTTCGACATATTTTTTGCTGCTCTATCCATAATTTTATTTTTTTTTTCGAAATTCAAAAGTCGAAATTTTTCGAAAAAAAAATCCAAGGCAAATACCTTAGATTTTTTATTTTTTTATTTTCAAAACGTCCTAACTCGAAAACGAAAAGGTCGAGAGAAAAACCTTAAATGTAAAACTTGTAAATCTCGACGAGTACTACAAAAAAGCCTATTAGAGTTATCGGTAGACTGTTTTCCATAGAACACCCTTATTTATGTAAATAAGTATAATCCCCACCACGGATAATCGAAAGATTCCTAAAAAAAAGTATTTCTTTGTCGGCGATACATGGATAAACAAAAACTAAAAATTGATGCTCTTAGATTGAATTTATTCTTAACCCTTATTATCTGTATAGAGTTTTTACAGCGGTTTTTCTTTATCCGAGCATCGCCGACAAAGAAATAATTTTTTATAAGAATCTCGATTATCTGTGGCAAAAACTATATCCACAATAAGTTTTTAAAATAATTTTGTATAGTACAATAATCGATAAATCTTTAATAATTATTGCATACATTATTTTGAAAATCAAACAAAGTTCTTGCCTAAATGAAACAAATTTTTGGTTAAAGACATTTAGTACCCCTAATTTGCATAGATATTCAATTACCACAATTCACATTTACATATTCATAAAATTTAAACTTTCAACATTTCCAAGTAACGTGGCCATTGTTGCAATTTAATAAATTTTAAGTGATTATGCTAATAAGTTTAGGTATTGTTATAAAATTTTTAAATTTTCCTAATTGGGTTTTTGAAATTTGTCCTGGAAAACTATGGTCTAAAAAATTAGTTCATTTATCAATTTGTATTGACTTTTTTAACGGTTTCATAAGTGTGCTTATTAAAATTGAAACTTTTATCGAAATAAAATTCCAATATTTCACTTAGTAAGTAGGTAGCTTGGATTTCAAATCTGTTTATTATCGGAGGTTGCCCCTCAACTATAATTTTTTTTATAAAGAAAAATGTATTTTTTTGCTTATTCTTCTCGATACTTTAAGCAAAGATAACTGTCATCAGCTTTATTTTAGCTTTAAAAAAAGACGGTACTAAAACCTAAAACAGTCCAAAAAAAAAAAAACACAATTTATTATTACAATTTTTAATAACCGAACCGTTACCATTTTATCGTTTATTACATTATGCGATTATTTTAAACCTTTCTAGAACAATTATTTTTTCAAACCAAAACAAAACTATCACCTAACAAAGCTAATTTTGCTTCAGACGTAGATATACTTACCGTATAATGCCTCATTCTCACTTGCGCGAAATTCGCTCTTTTTTATCATTACTTCGAAAATTTGATGTTTGATACACGCACAAAACATCAAATTGTCGAAGCAATGTCAAAAAAAAAGCGAATTTCGCACAAAAAAAAGCGAATTTTGCGCAACTATAAATGAAGCATTATACTCACTTGCGGAAAATTCGCTTTTTTTTACATTGTTTCAAAAATTTGGCGTTTGATACACGCATAAAACGTCAAATTGTCGAAGCAATGTCTAAAAAAAAAGCGAATACCGCACAAAAAGAGCGAATTTCGCGCAACTGTAAATGAAGCATAATTCTCACTAGCGCAAAATTCGCTATTTTTTAACATTGCTCCGACAATCTGACATTTTATGTGTGTATCAAACATCATATTATCGAAGCAATGTGAAAAAAAAGCGAATTCCCACAAATAAGAATAAAACATGATACCTACGTATGAAGAAATCGAATAATAAAATCGCTATTTAAAAAAATTTAATACAAATTTCAACTCATCTAGAATCCGGCAACTGGTTCTGATTGCCTGTTGAATATTTTCAAGCAATTCAAAATTTTCATATCTAAATTTGAGAACATTGACATTTTGTATAACTCTTATAACCATTTGCACCAATTATTTTAGAAAAGCCCTAACGATAAGCATTCCCTTAAATGACATTTCTCCATGGAAAATTGTCAGTTTAGAGAATAATTATCGTTACGGCTCCCCTAAAATAATTAGTAGAAACAGCCATTAGCAATCTAAAGAAACACGAACATTTGCATCAAATTTTATTCAAAATTTCAACTTTCGCTCCTTTTTCTCCAATCAAACCAATCATATGTTAGCGCAATTTAGAAAAACTATTATACCTAGTGCTCTAATTCACATTCGTTATATAAACATCACAGCGTTCGTTGCAAAAACAGCACCAACTCCTACCACTCATGGAAAAACCGCGACAGCGAAAACATTCTCCCGAAGAAAAAAAAAAAAACCCTAACAAAAATAATTGTCACTCACTCTAACAATTATTTTGCTATTTGACATCTATTTGTATGACTTCCTTGAAAAACTCCCTTTTCACAAATCGCAAAACTATCATGTCTCATTCCTTGATTTTTTAAATAGCACAGCGATATAATACATAAGCATCTACATTCAAACTCTTACTATCAACTCCGAACATTTTTGACCTTAACTTCTATAATTATATTCAATAATGGCTGTGGTGCAATGAGAACAGGCTGGCTTTTGGAGAGGTTAATTGTAAGTTCAATTCCCACTGATGGAAGAATTTTTTTTTCAATGAAATAAAAATCAACTAAATCAACAAAATCTATTTGGAACATACCTATTCGCGACCCACTCAAAACTTTCATAACGAAAAATGGGTTGGGGCACGTAACTTTGATTCTGTTTTACTTCGTAGAAAATGTAAGGGCACGTCTATGCATAGCGAAAAAGTAGGCTCGTGTTGGATCCCCGCAATTTTCTTTTCGCCAAATTCGAGATTTTTTTTATTTTTTTCTGACCTTTAGATGCATCGTAACGCAAAGAGTCAAATAAGGTTTTCGACATTTTTTTTGCTCCTCTATCCGATAATTTTTTTCGAAGTCGAAATTTTTCGAAAAAAAAAATTCAGAGTAAATGCCTTGTTTTTTTTTTTAAATTTTCAAAACGTCGAAAACGAAAGGCTCGGGAGAAATACCTTAGATGGAAAACTTGTAGATCTCGTTGAGTACTACAAAAAAACCTATTAGGGTTATCGTTCCACGGGACACCGTTTCCGAGAAAATCGACCTCAAAGATTTGAAGAAAATTTCAAAGAATTTCAACTCTGACGGCTTATATCTCAAACACGGGTACGGCCTGGAATCTCAATAAAAAACCAATTTGTAGATAATTCTGTCCTCTTTCGAACGGAACATGACTGGAACCGATCGGTTCAGAAATAGCGAAGCTATAAGCGAAAATGTAGTCTCGTGTCGGATCCCCGCGATTTTCTTTTCGCTAAATTCGAGATTTCTTTTTTATTTTTCTCTGACGTTTAGGTGCATCGTAGCGAAAAAGGTCAAATGAACTTTTCGTCATATTTTTTGCTCCTCTATCCGATGGCATTTTTTTTTTTTTTTTAAATAAAAGTACGTCGTAGTACATACAACGCCCTTCGGGCGTAGGCCCTTCGGGCCAATAAAAGAACGTCGTAGTGCATACAACGCCCTTCGGGCCAATAAAAGTACGTCGTGGTGCATACAACGCCCTTCGGGCGTAGGCCCTTCGGGACAATAAAAGAACATCGTAGTGCATGCATACAACGCCCTTCGGCCGTCGGCCCTTCGGGCCAATAAAAGTACGTCGTAGTGCATACAACGCCCTTCGGGCGTAGGCCCTTCGGGCCAATAAAAGAACGTCGTAGTGCATACAACGCCCTTCGGGCCAATAAAAGTACATCGTAGTGCATACAACGCCCTTCGGGCGTCGGCCCTTCGGGCCAATAAAAGAACGCCGTAGTGCATACTACGCCCTTTGGGCGCAGGCCCTTCGGGCCAATAAAAGAACGTCGTAGTGCATACAACGCCCTTCGGGCCAATAAAAGTACGTCGTGGTGGACACAACGCCCTTCGGGCGTGGGCCCTTCGGGCCAATAAAATTACGTCAAAGTGCATACAACGCCCTTCGGGCCAATGAAAATGCGTCGTGGTGCATACAACGCCCTTCGGGCGTTGGCCCTTCGGGCCAATGAAAGTACATCATAATGCATACAACGCCCTTCGGGCGTAGGCCCTTCGGGCGTAGGCCCTTCGGGACAATAGAGGAACGTCAGGGTGCATACGGGCGTAGGCCCTCCGGGCCAATGAAAGTGCGTCGTGATGCATACAACGCCCTTCGGGCCAATAGAGGAACGTCAGAATGCATGCGACGCCCTTCGGGCGTCGGCCCTTCGGGCCAATAAGAATACGTCAAAGTGCATACAACGGGCCCAAATCACCCTATCCAAATCCTCAACCGAATCGGGAATGTCCTGTTGCATCATATACAAAAGAATGTGTGCGTGAGGAGCACCGCGCTTTTGAAATTCTATTCTCACCACGTAAGCCTCGACTTTCCCAAGAATTTGCCTTGTCAGCAAGTCTCGCATTAAACTGTTCAACTTCTGCTCGAAAACCCTACACACAATATCAGGAAAATTGCAAACATCATCAGTTCCCTTACCGAGCCGTTGAAGTTCCTCGGTAATTTCCGCCCACTGCCGATTTGCAGTAAAAGTCAACAAATAAGTTGAAGGCCTTTTCAATTTCCTACAAAGGGCCATACAATCCATGTACCCATTATAATAATATCTACGAGACCCTGGAATGGTGGGTGGTAAAACCACGATTTTACCGACCGACTGCTGCCCCGAAACCCCCAAGCCTCTCCTAGCGGCTTCTTGCAATAAAAAGCTTTTAAGATTGGCATAGGTTTCTGCGCGCATGTGCCTTTGATTTCCTATCGCCCAATTTACATTATTGTATTCAATTTTTACGCCCGCATCAAGAAAATACTGCAGGCGTAATTTCCCTACGTGCTCCAGTACGTTCCAATACCGTACGCTATCCAGCGACGCCGAATCCGAAAGAAGTCTAACACAATAATATTCTCGTAAGGAATGGACCTTGTCTTGATCTTTTTGTTGCAAGGCCTGCTCTCCGTGAAGGTGGATGAGCGGATACATCATAAGATCTAACGAACTTCTCAAAACATTGACCTCTCGGTACGGGCGAGCCGCATCTTCTTGCAACGGCTTCACAGCGAACTCGACGTCGTAATAACATGGCGGTCTATCGCCCACGTATACTCCGGCAACGGTTTCGTTGCGAGGATATTGCATGCCCGATTTGACTGCCGCACTTTGACGTCGCTGAAATTTGAAGCGTTTTGCATCGTCATCCTCTTTATCGCGAGGATTAACACACAGAATGACCTCTCGAACTTCCCTATTCTGCGCCCTAGCATTCAATTTTTCCTCCTCAAAAATTTCCCCAGCGTTTTTGAAAATACGCAAAAGAATATTTTCAGCTCGCAAATAATGTTCAAGCCTTCTCACAGTCGCTAATTCTAATTGGGTCGAAACAGTCGACATATTTTTCCTAGCTTTCAGAACGTCTTCACTCACATCCATGAAATACAGATACGCCTCATTCAATTCTTGCAGACCAGATACATGCGTCGAAGCCATAAAACGAACTGTTCTGTCGATAATTGCTGGTTCGACTTGAGGACGGCTGTCTGGAAGACCAAGACCAGCGAACGTCCCGCGTCGATGGACAGTCGCAAAAATGCTATTGTATGCTTGAATAAACCTATGGAAATGACTTTTTCTCATTTGAGCCCTATCTTTACAATAATACAAAGAAAGAATGAAACGATCTTCCTGAACAAACTGTTTTCCGCTAAAACCCGTTTTCCTAACCCACAATATTGTTCCGTACTATCACTTTTAGCTCTTAGTTCGGTGTGCCAAAAACGAGCACCACAAAATTTACAATTCCATCTAGGTTTTTTTGAAAGCCGATGCACCAAAATGTCTTGAAAGTCACGATCATTAAATTCCCACGCGTTTTGATAAAACTTCGTGGTTCTTTCGTTCCTAATTCTCCACTCAGGTTTCTCCAAATCCGTAGCAGGAAGCGACTTCCACTCTTTGAGTCGTTTGTCGAAATCAACTCTCCCTAGTTTTTGACTTAAGGTCACTACGCGTGGTTGTGGAGGTCGCTTCCGTGAGATGGACTAAGCAGAAGCTACTGCAGCAGAAGCTACTGCAGCAGAAGTTTTCTTGACAGAAGCTGCCTTAGCAGATGCTGCCTTAGCAGATGCTGCCTTAGCAGATGCTGCCTTAGCAGATGCTGCCTTAGCAGATGCTGCCTTAGCAGATGCTGCCTTAGCAGAAATTGCCTTGGTAGAAGCTGCCTTAGCAGAAACTGCCTTGGTAGCAGCTGCCTTAGCAGAAGCTACCTTGGTAGAAACTGTCTTGGTAGAAGCTACTGATGCTGGAGCTACTGATGCAGGAGCCACTGATGCAGGAGCTACTGATGCAGGAGCTACTGCCGCAGGAGCTACTGCTGCAGGAGCTACTGCTGCAGGAGCTACTGCTGCAGGAGCTACTGCTGCAGTAACTACTGCTGCAGTAACTACTGCTGCAGTAACTACTGCGAGCACCCCCAGTGTTGAATAGAAAAAGAACAGCAGGCTCATACAAATCATAGTGGTTGTTACCAATATAACGTAATACAATAGGATTCTTATCATTATGAGTACCAAAATCCGCCATTAAAATACCATCACTCACAATGGCAACTCTCCTATTGTAAATATTAGCGCAAGCCAAGCATTCGACAGAAGCACCCCATACATTTAGCTTTGACATTGTAAATAATATCGTTCAATAAAAAGTCTTCGTTCGTAGAAAAGTGTTCTTTTTGAAATATGAAAGTTTAATACAACAGAAATCACAACATAAACGTTAACACAGACAAAGATACAACAGATAAAATAGAATAAATACGTATTAAAACTGAAAATGTTCGATAATAGGATAAATTCGTGTCTAACTTTTAGCGTTGACTATCAAAAACTTGACAAACTGACTTGACATGTCATAATTTTTACGGGTAAATTTTGTTAACAGGCCATTTACACCTCGATTTTCGCATTATCTTTAACATCCTCCCCGGCAGCAAAATCGTCGATTTCTAATGGATATAGGCACTGCACTGGACGTTTAAGTCTGACACTGTCACTTGTCTTTATTTCGCACGCTCTCACTTTTCCATCGCGTCCTTGAAATACCTGTGTGACTCTCACAAGTTTCCATGTTAAACGTGGTCTGTCCTGGTCTTGCAAAAGTACTACGTCTCCCTCTTTAATTTCCTTAGGTTATGGATTATCGATATAATGGGCAGAGCGCAACTGTTGCAAATAATCAACTTGCCACTTCTTCCAAAACTGATTCATTGTTTCTTCTCTGGTTTTCCATTTCTTCAAAATATCATTTCTCTTAATTTCCTTCGATTTTAAGTTCGGGCTGAATCCTAAATCGACCACTCCGATCAAGAATTTTCCGGGTGTTAATATAAAGAGATTTTCTGGGTCTTCATCAATATACGTTAACGGTCTTGAATTCACTGTCGCTTCTACTTCTGTTAGTATTGTTCGTATCTCATCAAATCCAACCAATTTCTTTAATAAAGTTGACTTCAAAGCATCTTTCACAGTACGAACCAACCGCTCCCAAAAACCTCCCCACCATGAGCCTCTTTCCACGCTAAATTTCCAATGAATCCTATTCTTTCTTACTAAATTTTGTATTTCTTCCTGTTGTAAAATTTTCGTTAACTGGTCTAATTCCTGAGCTGTGCGTTTGAATGTTTTTGCGTTGTCCGAATAGATTATGTTAGGTACCCCTCTTCTAGCGATAAAACGTCTGCGACCTAATACACAACTTTCTGTTGACAGACTTTCCACTAATTCCAGATGTACCGCTCTTATTACGGCACAAGTGAATAACATGATGTACACTTTAACTCTTTGTTCGTTCATAATTATGTACAGTGGTCCAGCAAAATCTATTCCGGTCACATTGAAGGGTTGTGCTGCTGTTATTCTATCTCTGGGTAATGGAGCAAATGGCTGCATTCCCGATTTTCCCTTCAATTTCTTGCAAACAACACAGCGTCCTATAATTGCTTTAATTCTTTGTCTCGCCTGAATTAGCCGGTACATTTTTCTTATTTCGGCTAGTGTAGAATTTATTCCGCTATGTTTCATCTGTTCATATGCGTTCCATATTAATTTCTTTGCTAATTCTGACTTTTTGGGTAAGATAATAGGATGTCTCTCATTGTAACTTAAACCGGATTCTTGTAACCTTCCTTTCAGTCTTAGTAAATAATTCTCATCTATAAATGGATTCAATTTTAGAATTTTGGATTTTTTAGAAATTTCTTTATTGTTCCTCAAACTTTTTATTTCTTCAAAATACGTTTCTTCTTGTGCTATTCGTATCCAATATGTCTCAGCTTTTTCCATTTCTTTAGCTCTTATATATCCTGAAATTTTTCTTTCCCTTTCCTTTATTTTTAGATTATTCGCAAATCTGAAGACTAGAGCAGTAACTCTTAAAGTTTTTTCATAACTACTAAATTGATCCAAAGAAAATATTCCTTTAAGTGTAACTTGCTCGCTTTTTTCAATATCAATTTCTGCTCTCGTCTCTGCTAAACAAGAAAATACTTTTGTTTCTTCATTTTTCAGATCAAAATACTCGTCCATTGGCCAATTTTATTTGTTTGCAGACAACCATGTAGGTCCATGAAGCCATCGTTCCGATTCTTTCACCAATTTTGAAGCTTTGACTCCTCTTTTCAAAAGGTCTGCAGGGTTTTCTTTACCTGGGCAGTACTTCCATACGATATGATTCATATTTCGTATTTCCTGTACTCGGTTTTGAATAAATGGTTTCCACTTAAATTTATTGCCATTTATCCAATGCAAAGCTATTTCAGAGTCCGACCATATAAATATTTCGGTTATATTTAATTGGATATTCTCTATGATATATTTTTGCATTCTTGCACCACATAAAGTTGCGGTCAATTCTAACTTTGGTAAAGTTAGCTGTTTCTTCCTCGATAGCTCAGTTAATTGAAACTCGTTTATTTATTTTTACTTTCGGTTTTATTCTCGAAAGAGTACAAAGGGGATTTTTTAAATAAAAAAAGGCTGACAATTTTGGCGACCTGTTGCGTCTCTCGTGGTCGCACCCCCCTAACAGACAGCGACCGAACCTTTAGAGGTTAACAAAAATACATTTTTATAAATGCGGAGTTGCCACATCTAGTCTAATAATAATTAGAGAAATTCAACAAAAGTAAAATTATAAAAACTCATTAACATACTCCCCGCCTTGAGAGACTTATGTCTATCAATACCAATAACTTACTTACTATTACAACACACATATACTTTCTAAACAAAATCTAACTTCTTGAAAACCAAAACAAATTTTACGAAAAGTCTAGTCCAGGGTTATCTAAACAGTCACTCTAAGGGCAAAGCACAAATGCTGTTCACAGAACGCCGAATTTCACCATTTCGAACCTTTATATCAACAACTCTGCAGACACCGTCATCACCTGGATACAGTCTTGTGATTCTACCCAACTTCCACTCCAGTACAGGACCAGAATCATTTTTGACAAGAACTAATGCTCCGATCTTCACCAATTCATGCAAATTGCTTTTCCATTTGACTCGCCGCTGTAATTCAGGAAGATACTCGTTTCTCCAACGTTTCCACACATGTTGTACAATAGCTTGAAGTCGCTGCCATTTTTTCAAGCGATTTTCACATACATCAGTTAAATCCACTTCCGGAATTGTTGTCAAACTTCGGCCAATTAAGAAATGTGCTGGCGTGAGTGCTTTCAAGTCCGAAGGATCGGGGTACAAAGGACAAAGAGGCCGCGAATTGAGGATGCCCTCTATTTGAACCAAAATGGTATTAAATTCCTCGAAAGTAAAAGACTCCACATTCGCGACCCGTTTCAAATGGTGCTTTATGCTTTTAATTCCGGCCTCCCAAATTCCCCCGAAATTTGGCGATCGAGCTGGAATGAAGTGCCACTGAATCCTATCAACAGTCAAAGATTGGGAAATATTTTTTGACTCTTGTTCTAGAAATTTATAAACTTGAATGAGCTCATTATTGGCTCCGACGTAGTTTGTAGCATTATCTGAAAAAATATGAGAAGGTTTACCTCGACGGCTTGCAAACCTTTTCAGAGCTGCTATGAAACATTCTGTAGTTAGTTCAGAGACCAGTTCTATATGGACTGCCTTGGTACATAAACACACGAACAGACAAATGTATGCTTTAATTATTTTAGCACCTCTAGTTTTACGATCTTTTATGCAAAATGGCCCGCCATAATCTGTACCAACATTTATAAATGGACAATCGGGATTTACTCTAAAAGTTGGCAAATCGCCCATCAAATAATTCTCAAATTTAGGTGGTCTAGCGTTAAAACAGGTAATACATTGCTTTACTATTTTTTTACAGCTATTGCGTCCCGAAATTGGCCAATATTGTTCTCTTATTGAGCACAAAAGTTGCTGCGCACCACAATGCATTAATCTTAGATGCTCTTCTCTAAAAATTAATTCTGTCAAAATATG